GAGGAAGCAGGTATGACGATTTCCCTGTAGGACCATGGAATAGCTAATGTAGGGCTTTTGTCTTCCTGTAGAATGGGACAATGGAGCATGAAGCATGCCACTTTTAATTCCCAAAGGCTGAAGAATGGTAAAGGAGAATGTTATATATTTCTCCCCATTGTGACTCAGGTCAAAGCCCTGTCTCTACAGCTATCTAAACAACGCAGAATAGCTCTAGGGAGTAAGATACCTCCCCAGTTCAAGGGACTAAGATCAGGTCTTCCATGACTTGATTCACCTTAACAGTTTTCTATATGATTTTCATGAACTGCTTAGCAAACATAGAACAAAGTAGAATGAAACCCCAAGCCATCTGCTACTACAGTTCAAAACTTCAATTAAAGGCCCCAATTCAGCAAAACAATCTTGTCTATAAGCACACAAGTAATCCTGTTCCTATTCAGCAAAGCATTTAAGCACATACTGTACTGAAGTTCCATTGAAATCAATGAGATTTAAGACCATGCTTAAGTGCTTTGCTGAATAGGGACAGGATTACTCACATGCTTAAATTCAAGCATTGCTTCAATGCCTTGCTGAACCAAGGCCAAGATCATGGAACCCCCCCAACTTAAGTATTTGTGGGATAGCTCAGGCTAAAGGTAAACAGTGTGCTCACCTCTCCGTTCTGCAGAACAAAATCTGAAAAGACATGTCTTCATCTCATCATAAAACATCACAAAGTATGGCTGAACTTTACAATGTGAGGAGGCTCTGAGGGTAATGCAATACTAGTAACCTCTACACAAAAAATGAACATCAACCACATTTTTTATGTGATAACTGATGCAGTCTAGGTGTTTTTCCAGCTTTTTTGCTAAAAAGAACCATCCACAATGACTACATCACAAGGTTACAGGAAGTGCACGCGTGTGTATCTATATATCTGAATGATGTATTCTCTCACTTACCGAAGCCATGGATCTCTAAGACCCCGCCTAGCCAGTCTATCTTGGACATCCTGTAGCGGAGTACCCTCTATCTTCCAGTGTTTATAGTCAGGGAGTTCCATTTTCCCAGGATGATGTTCATGTCCATGCCCCATGTCTGCAGGAAAAGGTTAAAAAAAAGGCCCTGCTCTTTCAAGGTGCACAATTTACTTTTGTTTAAACTTCCTAAGATTGACGTTCTCTTTCAGAAATTGGGGAGGAGAGGGAGAGGGATTTCTAACACCACCGTACCGCACTGAGGCAGTGTTGTAAACAGTAATCTTCAGAATAAAAATAGATGTTTTATTAATAGTTCTAATAATAATAATGCAGAGATCCTTCACGCTGTGATTAGCTATGCTATACTATACTAGTTTTGGTAAATCATTTCTGATTAGTAGCACTTGTCCAATTTGCCTGGGGTGCTAACTGTTCAGTTCACTTAACTCCAGTGACAGCTAGTGTACCAAAAGGCAACATCCTTCTCTGATAATCATTGTAAGGGAATTTATTAACGCTAGCATTATCTTCTTTACAGAACAATGTTAGTTTCTGCTCAAAGATACTACCACTATGTGGATTTTCAGATACTCAGCTGAACACATTAAAGACGTTGCCCAGGGAGTTGGGAAGGATTTACATATGATTTAAATATATAAAAGCAAACACTGCAGGACACTGGAGATGACAGTTTATCCAAATTTGGTATTATAATGTCATTGTGATCCTTTCACAGATGCTAATGTGTTTTCAAAACCACTGTCTAGTATAAACATTTCTAACATTTTTGACTGAAATATTTCATGTTGGAAATCTTTTTACCATTTAGGAAATTACATTACCATTTTTTCTGAGCACTGATCATTACATCTCCTTATTTGAATAATTTAAATTTTAAAATAGTCTTGTGGCTTCAAAAAATCTCATACTGGATGATGGAAGACACTATTTACCATTTTAGGAGACACTCTTTTAATACTCTAATGTAATGCTACTATGGCTTAGTTCTGCATAAACTCTACCCTAATAAACCTGGTTAGTCACAACTCCTTTCAAATTGTGCATTAAAATACTTGGAACCCAAAAGGGGGCGGAAGGGGAAAGAGAGAGTTTGTGTACATGCTTGCACACGCCTCTCTCTCTTGTTTTCACCAGAAATTCCATCTCCACCGGAGACAGCTTCCCAACAAAAGTACAATTGAAATCCAATGTTTCTGCAAAGTTTTGGTTTTGACAAATCAGCATCTTCCAACGAAAAGTGTTCTGTTAAAGAATTCCCAACCAGCTTTACTTATTATATAGTACATGCAACTCAAATGAATATTTTGAAACTTAACTATTTATTTTGAGAGACAAGGTGTACATTTCAGAATGCATGAAACATTGTACTCTGTTCTCAATTGTCTTATTGTACACAGCTACAGCCATATTTAGAAGTATGTCAAAGAATCTATTTTTTTTAAATTGGTATGTACTGCAATTTGTATGCCAGTTAGGACAGCCTGTATATCTTGCTTTCTTAAAAGATCGTCTCTCTCTTTCTGAACAATATTGTTACCACAGACATCAGCAAAGGTATATGTGGGCCCCTCATATTTGGATCTCACTCTCCTTCTTTGGGCTGAAATAACTCAAGTTTGTTGACCTTTGTGGTATGTTGAAAACTTCATTTTTTTAAACTCAAACTTTTGGGAAAGTGAAGTTGGACAGCTGGTATCTGGGGAGGGGGGAGTACTTTAATCTTTTTGCACTAAGGGGTTAGTCTATTATCTCAAATATATGGTGGGAATCAGATACATTATTCTCTATTGTATGCATTTTAAAGAAACATCAAAGATGTCCAGAGCATGAGACAGCTTTTTTTTATGTATTATAAACCAAAAATAAATAATAAATGACATCTTGTTCTTAATGAATTTGATTAGACTAAGCAGACAATGTAATCAAACTATGAAAGTGTTTAAGCCCTGACTTAAGTCACAGATTTTTAAGGCTAGAAGGAACCATTTTGATCATCTAGTCTAAATTCCTCCATATGAGCAGCCTGCTCTCCACGGCCCATGGCAAGTGGACAGCAGACCAGTTTGGAAATCACCAAGTTAGATAAATTAACATCACTAATCACGTTAATATTTATTAACATTTTAAAATTATTCAACTCACATGGCGCCTACAAAAACAGTGTTTCTGTCAATCTAATGAGGGACACTGGCTCTCCAAACCCAGATTCTAATTAACTGTTTGGACTAGATCGTGTCACAGCTGAGTACCAACCCCCAATGGAGCGGATTTGGCTCCTCATCACTGAAAAACAAACAGAAAGACCACAGGGCCAGATCCGTAGCTGATATAAGATTGCATAGCTCTGCTGAAGTCACGGAGCAACACCACTGGCAGGGGCCCCGTGCTGGCACCTGCCATGGCACTCGGGACCGCCACCCGCGTAGACCCTTCCCCCGGCTCCGTGTAGACCCCCAGTGGGGACACCAATGGCCCATACACAAGCAGAGGACGCGCTGGTGAGGGTGGAGACAAAGGTGGTTCGGGGATTGTTGGGGCAGGTTGGACATACACCGGCCCGGGGTGGCCTAGGTAATACTTGGCCCTGACAGGAGTGCAGGGGACGCGGTGACCTCTCAAGTCTCGGGGTTTCTTCCAGGCCTACGAGGCTGCCCCACAGCAGCACACGGGGGGAGGGGGGGTAACGCAGGATGCCCTTGCCCAGGGACGGGGGAACCAGCACCGCTGCCTCCCCCATAGCGCCTGGGCCCCGCCGCCGCCGGAGCTCCCCGCTACCTGGCCGCTCCGTCACCCCGCTCAGTCCAGGCGCACCGGCCCCGGAAGCGGAAGTCGCCGTCTCGGACTAGCTCCGACAGGGGACGCCGCCGGGCGCGCAGGTTCCGGGAGCTTTTCCTGCCCCGCTCCCGGTCGCTCCGAGCCGCCGCTGAGGCCCCGCCCCGTTTCGTCGGAGCCGCAGCCGCCGCTCTCGGAGGCGAGTCCCGGGTTCCCAGCCCCGGTGCCACGAGGCCCCGGGCGGGAGCAGGAGTGGGGGGAGAGGCGGAAATAGCCAATGAGCGCGGCGCTTGTTGGGGGGAGGGAGCGGCCCAATGGCCGGGGGCGTTGTTGCGCTGCAGGGCTGGCCGCAGAGGAGGCAGGAAGGGGACGGGGAGAGGGGGCGGCAGGTACCGGGGGCAGCGGGCAGGGAGAGGGGGCGGCCGCTGCGCTCCTCGCTGTAGCCGTGGGGCGGGGCCGGCAGAGGTCAGACCTTGACCCTCCCGGGGGCGCGGCAGTCAGCCCTCCCTCAGGGGGTGCCGGGCTCCGGGCGGGCTGCGGGCCCCCATTGTCCGCACAGGTGTGAGAGCAGCTGAGACACCGGCACCCCACGGGCTGCGGGGCCCCCGTGCTGGCACCTGCCATGGCACTCGGGACCGCCACCCGCGTAGACCCTTCCCCCGACTCCGTGTAGAGCCCTCCCCGTGGCACTCGGGGACCCCTTCCCCTGCCCCGCATAGATCTGTTCCCCT